CCCCAAAACCCCAAAACCCCAAAACCCCTCATTGCTTATTGATAGATTTTTATGTGAATTTTAAATGTAGGAGTTATGAAATTATAGAATTAATAGAGCTTTATAAGACTCATATTGCTTTTATGTCATAGAAGCAATTGAAATATATCCTCATTAATTGAGAAAATTCTGAGCGTTGTGTCCTTATCATCAAACTCAATTGTGGCTATCTTGTGTTTGCCATCTAAATCAACATAATATTTCATAATGTCATCTCTACAATATTTTAACTTGCAAGGACAATCTATAATTCTTGTCAATTTCAAGCTATTCAAGTTCATCAGCTGAATTCCTTCTTAGTCTTTGATCAATGCAAATGGCACCTCTTGATATTAAATTCTTCTCATACAAAATATGGTACTACTATTATTATTTGATTTTATAGAGACAGCTTCATTCGGACTGGTCTAATACTTTTCAAAATGGAATTTCTCCATTACAGCTGGCGCTTATTCTTTGGCGATAATAAGATAGAAGCCGAACCCTACAGTGAAAGCAGTAATTGGTTGAGGTGAATTAGTAATGATTTACCCAGCAATCTTTATTCTAACCTTGCTTCCCTCTACATTTATATTGATAATCTGCATGCCTATTTTAGTTGCGATGACACATTGATTAGCGCTAACTAGAGCTAGATCGTAAATGTTCTCATTATTAGAAAGCTTAGTCTCTTTCATAACTTTGTCACTCATACTATCAATTACTGAAACGTAGCCACCATATCTTGCTGCAATAAAATGCTAATCTGAATATTTAATCATCTTAGAAATGTGGAACGTTTTCTTAAAGCCAGAAATTTCAGTTATCTAGGAATTCCACACATAAATTAGTTTCGTCTTTTCATGACCTAGTCCAAAATACACCTTCTCGCCCATTTGAAATGCACTCCATATTCTTCCAACTATAAACTTGCTTACAATTGTGTTCATGTTTGAGAGCTAGATTATATCTAGATTTTTCTCTTCTTTTTGAATATAAAGGTACTTATTATCATTTGTGATCAAGAAAGCTAAGCATGAGAAATTATTGATTTTTACATTCTACTCTATTTTAACTAAACCTCTTTCCATTACATCATCATAACAATCTTTGACAGCTCTATCATTATTTCTTGGTAAAACGATAGGTGATTATTCATAGTTCTTAGTTTCTTCTTGCTAAAATTCCTTTCCTGTATAACGACATTTTTGTTACCGTTTCTATCTATTCTACGGCTAAACTTCAGAATCTCTGTTCCCTGCTGCCCCTTTATCGTCTCCATACACATGATCAAATTAACTTTCTTTTAGTTCTAACTACTCTGTCATAATATTCTTTGAGATGTCCATGACCTCATTGACTGCCTCTATGTTCTTGTGCATGGTATTTTTCACATCAACGATATCTCTATGTACTTAGTTAAGTTACTAGGCAATTGCTGTCTTAAAGTTATACTTCATTCGCTCTTTATTAAGTCTCTTCTTCTCTCTCTGATCTCTAATGTAAGCCTCTCTTTTTTCATGAAACTCAATAATCTTGCTGAGCTGAGCTTGTATTTGTGAGAACTAAATTGAAATATTTTACTGCTGCTGGTTAGCAGAGGCTAATGTTGGCATAACAGGTTAATCAGTTGGAGGAATTTCTCCATGAGATAATTCATCTGAACTTGCTTTTATCTCCTCTTTATCAACAAAGATTTTGTTTTAATTATCTTAATCGTTTGCCTTGAAATCCTCTTAATGTAAGATTTTATTGGATATTTCTTCCCATTCAGAGGGTGAGAAAAGTGCCTGCTATTTCGCAAATATCTCGGGAGAGATTTTCATGATGAATTATTCTACAATTGTGGGCTCAAGTTATTCAAAGATATTCTCAACAATTGAAATCATAGCCTAACCTACGAGGCTGCTCTCCTTGAACTAATTCTAGTCTCTTTTAGTCAAGATTCTCACCTCTTATAGTTTAAGTTATAGCATCTCAATTAAATCCTCAAGTGAACTTTTTGAAAGGAGCTTACTTTCCATTTATCAAATAAATATCTTTAATTATGATAGAAGATAATAAGGATATTGATTAAAAGTAGCATTAACAGATTCATATTTTAATAACTCTTACTTTAGGAAATTTTATATTCATGGGGTTTTGGGGTTTTGGGG